CCACTAATCAGAGATGCCGTCTACTCCCCTGGTACCCCAGATATTTTTTTAGCTGGACTGGCTGTGAGGCTGAGGGATGGTGTCACCCAAGAGTGTTGACCTCAGCAGCACTGGTTAGCTCGTGGTCTCCCCCAGCTGGGGTTTCAGATAACATGCACCAGCACAGCCCTGTTTCTTGGGACAATGGCCAGTAGGCTCAAAATCTGCAGAGTGGCTTTCATCTTTCAAATCTATCACCAGTTCTGATTGTATGAGCTGCTGCACCATCCTCACAATAATTAGCAGAGGCAGCTCAGATACTGTTCCATCATGCACAGGGAGGCTCTATGAGTTTGCTGCAGCAGCCCAAAAATGAAGCAGTTGCTGCTTTCCCTGATCTTTCCTTGGCATAAATGTATGTAGCAATCCTGCATCTCAATTGATGGGAAATGTACTACAGATATATATTTTTTACAAGGACGGCTTTTTGTTTTGTGACTTATACAACACTTTCTCCCCAGGTGAATTCCACTTTCTTCTTCTAGTACTTTTCCTCAGTACCTTATACTTTATAGGAAAGGATATTCATTTTCCTGAACCCAGGAAAGCGAACTGCAATGTGGTTTTCAAAAGCTGAAGTAAGATCTTGGTAGCCTGCAGACTCATCATTGGGTCCTTGCAAAATACATATACAGCTTCTAAGCTTTCCCTTTGCTTGTCATCCATTGTGGGAATATGAAGGTCCATGGTTTTGGTTTTAACTGGTGGTACAGCCAGCTCATTTTATTTGCAGTGTCAACACAACTTCTACAATGAGCTCTGAATTTAAGCACCAAGTGCTTTTGAACTCCATTCTAGACAAGTCAAGTTTCATAGTTTTACTGATTATACATGTCAGTAGTGGCAGTGTTAGCTAGTGAGGTTAAAGAGGAAAAGAACAATATGCAAGAAATGACCAATTAATATCATGCTCCTCTTTTTGATAAATCTTACTCGAATTAGTCTAATCTTAGCCTACCAAACTGCGTAAACTTGATGTGAAAGCTGTTGAGTGTTCTGCCTTTACTCACATTCCCATCACATCTCCCCTTGAGGCAGCGGAGGAAAAGCTTGGTTGGTTTCAAGTGAAACAAAGTATCTTGAAAGTGTAATTTTTATTCTGATTGTGCAGTTGGGTATGTTTAGTTCTGATTGCAGATCTTGCAAACAATAATGAAGACACAGTTGCGCAGAATCCCTTTTGCAAACATCTGCTGCTCTGGGACCAATAACATCTTGCTGTTCCTTTGTATTTTCCGTTCCCCGTGTCCATTTTTGCAAGTATTGGACTCATTCGTTCCAAGGACTCTTGAAAAATTATCTCATTTGATTGAATAATTCTTTTGAATATTTTATTTCAGATTATTGTAGCTCCATTTTAGAGTGCTTCTGTACTACTAAAATGTCCTGTCTTTATTTGACTTTTATAAGCATAGCTTATATTATTAATAAATTATAGAAACTAACCAAAATGCCCACCTCTGAGATCTGAAGGTAGGCACCTAACTTGATATTATAGGTATGTAAGTGCGAGTCTTGCTTCTCTGCTCCCTTCTTAGCATCTGGTTAGGTTAGGACTTAGGTTAAGAAACTAGACCTGTTCTCTATATACCAAATTTCTCATTTCTCCTTAGGTGGGGCACTGGATTTGCTCTAGGCTGGACATGTGAGGTTATTATCTTGTGTTATAGGTAGCACACAGAGATAAGGACTTAACTTCACAGAGAAGACAAACTGTCTTTCAGCAGAGACACCTTTTCGCAGCTAGTTCACGTGGCCCTGGTTATAAATGGGAGGTTGCTCTGAGTGGGCATTTGTGCTTGACATGGTTCTGTCCTCTGACAGCCATTTTTGTATGCAGCTTGAATTTGAAAAGGTGAAAAATGCTATCTGTGGGCTAATGAAAAGATACTTAGGCAACCTGTAACAAACACTGTCATGTACTCAACTTGGCCGATACCCGCTGTGCATGCACTCGGCTTGGGCTCAGCAGCAAATCCCTTAACTCCAAGCTGTGGGCTCTCCCGGTTCGCTGACGCGCTCTTGCCAGCTGTGCAGGGAAGCTGTGGTATCTGCAGAGCTTCTCTGATTAAATCTTCCCTGATTGTCACGCTTCCTGGGAAGAGCTACAACAGTTCATCGTAGTGCAACTGTGAATTGGTTTTGCACCTACCAACGTCCTTTCTCCCGGTGCAACTGTCCAAAAATATGTGTGTATATTTAGACCACAGTTGCAGAACAGCCTCGCAATGAAATCGGGGGATATTTGCATGTTTGATGCTGTTAGGGTCCTGTGCCCCTTCGGCTGCTCGGTGGTCATATTGCTGTGTGGTCTCACCCTAGTTCTTTGTCGCTCCTTTTTCTGGAGAGGTGTTTTGCACCAGAGGGGGAGTTGGTGTGTGGGTGTTTGAATGCTGCTATTTGCTGTTTTTTAAAGGACTTCTAGCCCTCCCATGGGGTTACTGCAGCAGGA